TTTGTGCTGCTCAATGCAGAAGGCTACTACTCTGAGATTTGTTAGCAGGAGTCTGTGATCTAATGATCTGCTGTAGACATAGGCAGAGCTTTGGCCATTGAGGGCTTTGGTGGTTTTTTTTTTTTCCCTTCAAGGTGAGGATTTTTGAGGTGCTGCACCAGGGACGGGATGGGAAGGTGCATGTGGCCTGCCCATCCTGCAGGTTGTACATTGCACAACTCTGAGTGGGAAGGAGATCTGTCCTGGACTTGGTGAATTGGTGAAATAAACACTGATTCTGTCCCTCAGTCTGTTATGGAGAAAATCAAGATAGACAGCAAGAGCTGCATAAGAAACATGCAAGATTTGCAAGTCTCCAGTGGGGCAGAGAGCTGCTTTAAAGCCAGCTGGTATTCTTCCCCATGGCATTTGCCTGGGGGTCTAGCTCTGCTTTTCCCAAGGCACTGGTTATGGGGGACTCCAGGTTATCCAAGAGCAGGCAGGAGCTTGTTAATGGATCAGGCTCAGTTGTGTTGCTACCTGTAGATGCTGCCAATCACAACTCCAGCATTAACATTTCTGCTTTTCTGGGTCAAGAAGCGTTTGGGGTTTTTTCTGTGAGTACCATTACTGAAGGATTGATGAATCTCATTTCACAGGCTCCTAAGCCACAGTGGCGGATGTGGTTTGTCTGAATAACTATTCTTGGCTAATGGACTGTAGATGTGAGGGGGAAAGAGGTTGCTTTATGGTAGAATTTCCAAGAGCCAGTGCAAAGCCTAGAAGCAGCCTTGGGATCTTGCTCCTTTTTGTCTATCTTGCTACCCCTGCATTCTTTTTCATACAAACTTTGTCTGCTTTGTTTCCTCTGCTGCCCCAATGGTCACCTCCTGAAAGCCAGGGGTGAGGCACAGATCACAGCAAGCCTGTGTAGCCAGAAACATTCCCCACTCACACCATTTCCAGACATTCTGCACATCTACTTCCCTGGTGTTTAATATTGAGTAGGGCACTTGGTGTCTCATGAGGATGCAAGGAAATACGTAATTGCCGTCAGCAGAGGTGGTTAATGAGTGTTTGCAGAGCAGAAACCAGACAATTTGACACAGACTGTCACTTCTGGGCCCTCAGTAGCCTCATGCTGCCAGGGAAGCCATTTGTGTCAGGAACTCTGTTTATCCTGGAGCTGGTACAAGAGCAATGGGAATGTTGTTGTGGAGACCTCTGGTTTTTGGGAAGTAGATCCATGTCACCTGTCAACCTTGTACTGGCTCTGTAAGGGGTACTGGGCAGCAGGGCTCCTGGACCCAAAGCTCTAACCCTCTGTCTCCTGTGATCTTTCCTTTAGATATCACTGGAAAAGATGGCTCCAGGTCTGGCAAAACCACTGGTCCTAGTAGATGTCTGAGTAACATCCCTGCTGCAGCTCAGTAGTGTCCCAGCTGTTCGTGTCTTGCTGAAGCCAGAGGAGTGGAAAGCAAACAGGACTTTTAATGTTGTATTTTAGATTCTTCATTTGTGATAATTTTAGCCAAACTCTCTCCTGTTGCCTGTGGACTTGCTTACCCTAAACATCCAAACAAGGATTTAGGGGAAGAAATGGCAAATTACCTTGTTGGAGAGATGCCTTTTACAGTTTGTAGTACATCTTCTGTGAGTATAATAATTTCTCTTTAAAATACTTGGATAACTCAGTGCCTTACCCTGCCACAGAGAGCAGTATTTCAACAGAAGTTGACTCAGCAATACAGCTACAGGAAAGGAAATCTATTTACACAGCAAATGGCTGAGCTTGTCTGCCATATCACCTCTGGCAGACTGATGGAGCAGTGCCAGGAGTTAAATCTTGCTGTGTTGCCCATAGGGACTGTATCTGAAAGACAGCCTTTGAGTCCTTTCTTGACTATTTCAGGAAGAAAAACCTTTATGGCATTCCCAGCTTGCCCTGTACTGCTGTTCCAGTGGCCAGTAACTTGCATGCTTTAGGGGAAAGTTTGCACCCTGATGTCTTAGGGATTGATTCTGAAATTTTTCGCTTAATGTGATCAGCTCAGGGCCTTCTCTAACTTCTTCTGGCCTGGTGGCTCTCCCCCCGAGTTTGATAGCAGCTCCAAGTGCACAGTACTTAAGAGCTTAATCACAGCCCCTGGATTTCATCTCTTCAAAGGAGTGTCTGTAAAGAACCAGTTATACAAAAGTTGCTTCCTTGCAGAGCCTTGGGATTCAATTTAAATGAGTTTAAATTCAGTCCCTAACGTGTGTGTGTGGGGTCCTCTAGTGTCACAACTATGCAAATAGAAGCTGCTGATAGTTTTGGGAGACAGCCGTAACCAGCTGGTTTGAGATTGTTGCTGGTTGCTCGCAGTTTTACACTGTTTTCAGATTTGTGCTTTTGGTGTCAGAGCTGTTAAATTCTGAGGAATTGAGGGTATTTCCAATATCCAGTTGCAAATAGTGAAATCCCGGTGGTGTTTTCCATGTCCTGGATGTTCTGCCTGCCTATTAAAGGGACAAAGTGGGTATTTCAATTATCTCTGACAGGATGTAAAATTGTCTAGCTTTACTGTGTTAAATATTTAAACAGGACATAATTGGCTTTAAATTTATGGTAGTGCATAGCAGAAACCCATGAAATGGCTGTATATATTGAACTCATTTATTATCTTTTCATCAGAGTTCTGTTCCCTTGGCAAGCATTTATTTAACACAAGAAAATGTATGCAGAATTAAGAAGAAAGGCTGATTGGAGAGATAACGGGGGGAGAAGTGGGATATTTTTTTTTCCTTTTGGGTCATTTTGTCCAGTCCACCTAGTTTAGTGCTGATGAATCCTGATCCCATTAATTCTGCTTAGTAGTGATGACAGTCCCAGCCCTCATAGCTCCCCAGTTCTGTGTGGTATCTGGCTTCCCTAAGGCAGACCACTCTTGTGTATGGAGCTTGGTGGTCACAACACAAGACTGCATAATAGATTATCTTTGTGCCTCCACTACCAAATAGCAGAGAAATCAAGGACTAAATGGATTAGATCCACAGGGACTAACCTAAATCCTGTGCTATAGGATGAGCTGTGTTGCCAGACACAAGGAGTTTGACCCCCAGCTCCTGTCGTGGGGATAACTCTGGGTGGGACATGACACAAGTGAATCTGTACTGTTGACAGTTACATGAGAAGGTGCAGCTGGTGCTCCCCTGAATTCTGCTGCTCTTCATTGCACTCAAAAGTTCAGCTGCAGCTCATATCTGCATTGAAAGGCTACTCCAGTAGCAGACCAAAATATTTTACCAACTTCTGTGCCTGATTTTCAGTTGATTTGGCAGGTTCAGTACTCTGTTTGCAAGGCTATATTGCCTGTTTAATTAACTCCTGCTACTTGAGAGCAGTAGCTGTTGCAGTGTGAGACTGTAACTTCAGCTTCTAAATGGATTAGGAATTACATCTGTAAGAGACTCAAGCTTTTCCTGTGACATCAGTCAGTCTTTTCCCAGCTGGTAGCATAGAATAGGGGTGCACACTGCCTTGGCTAGATAGTAAATCCATCTGCTTAGGTCAGCAGTATTCCTCTGGGAAGTGCATGCGAAGTACTTCTCTTAAAATTAAAAAAAATCTAGTCTTTGCTACCTCTTACCACTTTACTGAAAAAACACAGTAAAGAACTTATTTCCATAAAAATGCAAGTGCTGGAGGAGAACAGAATTCCACTCTTTTAGGAGCTCTTCTGTGTATAGTTGAAACCCAAGTCCCCAACTTCCATTCTAATTCTCTGTGTAAACTGGAAGCTAAAGTCAATGCCTATGAAAGGTGGGCAGAGTTCCAGACATCTTCAGGGAGCTGGGATTTCACACTGGATCACTTGAATTGTCTTCTTTGAAATTATAGATGTTCTTATTTCCCATATAGGTAGTTACCTTTTCTGTGTAGACAAACCTACCTCTACGCAAGTGCATGTTGAATGTTTTTAAGCTCAGGCAGTTTTGGTGTGACTTGGCCAGAAATAAGAGGTCATTACAGTTGGTTAAACCACAGGAGGCAAATGAGGTTTGTTGTCTAGCAAAGTTTGGAAGTTTCCCATAAATGGTTTTGGTGAAGGCATAGAGAGTGTTGGCAACTTGCAAATTAGCCTTGAAGTTTGTTAAATAAAGGTCTTAAACAAATGCCCCTCAGGCTCCTGCTCTGCCTCCTCCTTGTGCAGCACCCTCAGCACACACATGGCTGGATATGGTGAGTGTCTCTTGACCTGAACTTTGCAAAATAAAAAAAAAAAATTTGATTGTTCAGGAGAAGCCCCAGATTGATGTGAAAACAAGAAATAATAAGCATGAGGAATCACACATGGAGAAAATCAGACAGTCTCCTAAGCCCAAATGTGGGTGCCTAATTCCATCCTTTTGTGTGTCTTGGAGACTTGATTGAACACAAGCCAGTTCTGCTTCACATGTGCACCCAGAAGTCTCCACAGTCGAGTCTTTCTCCCCCACATTGTTCTGTGGGCTATACAGCTATTTAGCTTTAAATACAATTAATTCTCTGCCTCTGCACTGCCTCTTGAGCTCATCTGACAGCTTTCCTAACTAGTCCCAAGTTTTGGGGCTGTGTGCCAGATGAGTCAGGAGCAAATATGAAATATATTGACAGTGTCATCATGTTCTGTTCCCCTCAATGAGAACAAAAAATCAGAGCTGCAGGTGAGCTGATGAACGCCTGGTTTGTACAGGAATTCAGCTTAAGGGTAAGTTGGGATTTCTTTTTGTACTCTGGATGCCCAGGACTGGCAGCTGGAAGCTCCTTCCCTCCTGACTTCTTTAGCAAGCCTTTCTGAAGGCATCTGAGTTTCTGTGCTGTAGAACACTAAACTTTGACCCCCAAAGAGCTTCCCCTTCCAAGTTTTTCACATTTAGTTCAGTTTCTTAAAGAGCAGGAGAATTTACTGCATGCAAATTACCAGCAGATACTGGGATAACACTCCAGCAATTTCTGTGGGAAATTGCAAATGACAGGGGGAAAGACAATCACACTAGACTTTCATGTAAATAGTTTAATTATATTTCAATGCTTTAAAACACAGAAACACTTGAATTAAATTACATCATAATGCTTCTGCTAAATTATACATCCAAGAACTGTGAGAGGAGGCGCTAGGGAACTAAAAGAATATGAGCCCAGCAATTACCCCTAATATTCTTTTAGTCTTATTATCTGTACTTCTTTACTCTAAGGGCAGTCATCACAGGACAAAGCCTACCATCACAGGGAGAATGGTTCAAGAGAATTCCTGTGTTGGTGTGTTTGTTGTTGCACTGCAGTACACAGAGCTGGAAGAAGGGCACACACTGGGCTGAGGCATTGAGCAAACGGCTCAGCTCACACTTGCCTTTTGTTGAGCTTACAACCATTGAAATTCCAATTCTAAGTGTTCTGGGGAAAATGCTGCAATTTAAGACAGCTGGACATCTCTACTGCCATGTGCATCCCTGTGCTGCTACAGAGCCTGAAAAGGGGATAGGCAGGGAAGAAAGAAATCAAATGTGTGGCTGCTCTCAATGAGCACTTGCAGGAGCTGGGAAGTCTGTGTGTGTGTTGTGGGAGGTATTCGTCTCTCAGCTGATCGCTGGGAATGCCCACAAACAGACTCCAAATTCTAATGACCTAATCTGCATTACACTGAGTATTTGTACCCCTGCACTTCCTTCCAGCAGCATCCCTGGGGGCAAACAGCAGCAGTCTGGGAGTACCTCCTGCCACATCTCCTGGCAATGAGGACTGGGCTGTTTTTCACACTCCAACCCCTAATATACTCCCAGAAATCCCTAGTTCTAAAGACAGCTGGATACTGAAAAACTCAAGCAATTTAGCCCTGCAAAGCTGCCCTGAGGAAAGCTGGAAGAGGGAAGGCTATTAAGGAGCTGTGCCCTGCAGGGGTCAGGGGCACAGGCCCAGGAAAGAGTCTGCATTTAATGAATATGAGAAAAACAATCACACAGGGGAAGAAAATATTTGGGAGAACAAAAACCAACTGGCAGGTCCAAACTTGCAGCAAAGCACATGATATCTGAATTGCCACTCTGAAACACCTCCTTGCATAAACCTCTAGATCTGCATTCAAATATTGGCTTGTCCCGATTCCCTTTTAACTGGTGCTGTAGATAGAATAAAATCTGATTGACAAATGCCTGTAACCACACAAAGATCATGAGGTGATCAGGGCATGGCTGGGCACTGATGCTGCTCCCTGGCTGCTGTGCTGGTCTGCAGCACTTGGGGCCAGTGCCCACCAAAAGGCTTTCAGCCAACAGACCCCCACACTGCACTGCCACATGCCAAGGTGGCCAGAGACCCCTTGGCACTCTCTTCCTCCTGCAGCCCTGAAGGATGCACAGGCAGAGATGCTTCAGGGCTACGGGGAAACCCCTGGCTTACCTGTCTAGTCCCACCTACCTGTTCCTAGCAGGTAACTCGAGCAGAGGCAAAGCTCTGTGTTCCCTTCAGCAGGAAGAAGAGAAGGTTCTGACTGCAGGTCCTGGCAGGTAAGGAAGTACAAACCAGCTGTTAGTCATCTCTGGGGACAGACACTGGGCTGTTGTTGAGCCAATTCATGTTTTTCTTTTTTTAAAAGAAAGTATTTCAAAGCTTAATCTTTTCTCCTGGATAACACTATGCACTGTAGAAACTTTCCTGAGCCAAACAAGGAAGGGATAAATGGTACTGGAACTCTAGTTCTGCTCAACTCCTCTTTATGGCCCAAGCAGTCTTATTCCTAGCTCAGCAGCAGGGCTCACATACCCAGACAGTGATAGTCCCTGACTCTAGCTGTGTGAAATCCCCTCTGTCTATACAGTAGCTCTAATTTGGGATATTCAGCCACTTCCTCAGATTAAGATGTTATCAGCCAAATCTTCACCGTTTCACTTTTTCAAGCCAGTGAACTCCCCATGCTTCAACACCACCCTGGTGCACATTTACCAGCAGCCACAGGCCTGGGAGGGGATAATCCCATGGTTGTGCTCTCCCTGCTGTGCCCCAGGTCACCCCTCAGCTGGGGCAGGCAGCTTTCCTGGCTCAAAGAGGCTTTGCCACCAGTCCCCACCCAGGACTGGCCAGAGCTGTGGTCACTGCATAGAGAGGCTCATCCATCACTTTCCTTGGGGCCTGGGCACACAAAGCCAGTGAAGTTGTTCTCTGAAATGTGCACCTCTCTCCTTCCCTGACCCAGAGAGCACAGCTAATCTAAAAAAAGCAGGCACTGTTCCTAAGCACAAAGCTTGGCAGGTGGTGTCAGGCAGTGCCAGCTCAGAAACTGGAGCTCAGGAGCTTTTAGTGCTAACACACACACCAGAAAATCACCACTGCCCTTACAGAGGGTTTGCTTCCCAGAGTGATGGCACTTCCTATGCCCATGTGTAACACAAACCAACAGGTGACCAGCTGGGCTCAGTGGATCAGCCATGCTTGAGGGAAGTCACTGCTTTGTTGGCTTCATCCTCCTTGTTCTCAGCAGGATCCCGGAGCAGGGCAGGTCCCAGTCATGCATTGATGGCGTTGGCCACGTCAGTGAACACGAGGCGGCTGGGTCTCTGCAGGGCTCCCTGGCTCGGCAGCAGCACCTGCAGGGCAGCAGGAGGGCTGAGAGCCAGCACAGCACGGCTGCCTGGGCTGCACCTTGGAAGGTGCAGGGGGGGCTGCCCGGCTAACAAGGCCTTAACAAGGCTGTGGCAGGAAAATACAACAGGCTGGAGAGTAAGTCAGCACATCCATGCCAGTTTAAAATCCCCACATCATTGGATTATTGGGTCTCACTATTTGTATATACAAAGCAGCATGAAAAGGCTTGAGATATCAAGAAGGCCTGGAAATGTGCCTTTGCCTGAACTTGAGCTGTTGTTTTAGACTGTCCCTCTCTTTTAACATTGAACTTTTAAACTCTTGAACTCCCCAAGCATTAGCAAGATCTGAAGTATCCTGCTGGACAGTCTGTCCTTGGAGAGGATGATTCTGGTTTTACTGGGCTGAGGCTAACTCTGGCCTTACAATTTTCCCCCCTTACCTGGGCTTACCCCCTGGTAAGTCCCCTATGTGGATTAGTAGAGGGATCTGATGTTGTCCTAGTATGTGCTACTTGAAGAACAAGATCCTTTACTTTTACACACCAACTTCCTGCCTTCCAAACCAGTATATTTCATGTTGGTCATCTTTCATATTCCAACACGTCTCCTTTGAGGTCTTTAGCAGGTTGAGAATGTCTCAAGGTAAGTATTTTATAATTACAGTTTTATATATTACTTCCTCTTTCCTTTTCTGCCCACACCAAGCTTGCTACAGATTTTCTGAAGGTATAGTGTGTGGAAACTGAGAACTGTCTGGGAGAACTCCTGCTCCTGGATGGGAAAAGCAGGGGATGACATGGGCAACACAAAGTATCTGGAAAGGAATGCATGAAAGGAAAAATATGTCTGCTCCAAGAACAAGCTGTGTCACTGGGTAAGGGACATCTGTTCCAACCAATCCTGCTGGCTCTTTTAGAAAAGGCTTTTTGTGTGGTAGTGGTGACAAAGGGAACAGACAACACTGTAAAGCTGGACCCAAACAGTGGTGAGAAGCCCTTCTTTCCAATTTCTCCTACCTCTTGTTACACTGGGCAGGAGAGACTCCTGTCACAGACTTGCCTAATTCCTCAGTCCACCCTAAGCAATCCAAAATGCTCAAGTCCCTACCTCCATGGCTGGCAGAGATGGGGAAGTCCTCCTGAGGTCTAATGTGGCTTCCTACCCTGCAACCCTACAAGATCCCTTTGGCCCTGTAGGACAGCAGTGCAGGTAGCAGTGGCTGTAGTGGCCCTCCTGGTGGTGGCTGCCTACCTTGCTCTGTGATGCCTGGGAAGATGCTGCATCTCGGCCGTGCTCCAGCAGCTCCTGCTCCAGCTCATCCTGTTCCTCGGTGGGATCAAAGTTGTACATGGGCATCAGCTGGTGCCGTAGCTTCTCCAACCTGCCCGAGGGAGGGGAGGGAGAGGGTTGGCTGAGAAGGACAGAGCTCAGGCTGCTTCCCCACCCCACTGCTGAGGCTATCTGCAGGCTGCTTCTCCTGCTGCACAGGGATTCTGCTCCTGTGGCTCTTGCTGGATGAGGCTAAGAACCTACTACACACAGCTGGCAGGAGTGGAAGACACCCAGAGTGCAGTTACAGGGATTAATTGCCATCACTAATCTATGTTGGCAGGCATTTACACACAGAGGAATCAGGATTTAAGTTCTTGCAGACCTTAAAAGATTAGGCTTTATGTGGAGGGACAAAAGAAACAGTGGAACATACTGGCTTGGCATGTTGTGACTTCCCCCCTGTCCCTCTGCCCACACCAGCCTGTCCTGCCATGTCACAGTCTGCCAGCAGCAGTTCACTTCAAACTCCAGTGGCCTGAGAGTACTTTAACTCTGGGGCTGAAGTACATAAAATTAAACAGAAAATCATAAACAATAAATAGAAAATAGGAAAAAGAGAGATTCTCACAGGGAGCTGATGCCTGTGGACACTACTCTTGTATCACTGCTCCAAGAGACAGAGCTATGAATTACTACTCAAAGGGTCACTTCAGAGCTGGATGATGGAGGGGGTGGCTCCTGGGAGAACACTTGAGTCCTGCCTTTGGCTATAGCTGAGTTTTGGAGTAGAAGGAAACACACAAGCAGTTACTGGCAGTGTCACCACAAGTATCTATTTTGGCAACTGTTAGGATGACACATTCTTCCTCTGCTTCTCTCTGGGCTTAGCAGCACAACCATTATCTCCAGCAGTGCTACTTTCACAGGACAGGCATTGGCTGCTCCTGCAGCAGCACCCAGACCTGGGCTTTGGAAATATTACAGCACTTTCTGGAAGTGGTCTGGCCAGATCTGCCCCAAGGAGTGAGGGAGGGAGGAGGTACCACAGCTTGTGGATCTTGACCAGAGTCCCTGCTGTGAGACGGAAGAATCAAGACATGATTCGCCCTGTGTGCTGCTCTCCTCTCTATTTTCAGCCAGGAGCTTAGCAAGGAAATTAAGACATTAACTCCTGGGCTGAAGCTGCATCTCTGCACTGTGCTGCTGCCAGTTGCTGTCACTGCCTGGGCTGCTAGAAAACAGGAATCTGGGAATGGCTGAAACCTGGGATCTACACCTTTCATGACGGAGTTCCCAGCTTCTTTATGCACCCATAACCCTCCCCTCTGTCTTGATGCATCTCATAGGTGAAGTGTGATGAGTTCCTGACCTCCTCCTGCTCAGCCTTATCTTCCAAAGCTGTGGAGTCTTTGACACTCTGGTGTCAGAGGGATGCCCAGTCCCAGGAGTGCAGTGTGCCAGCCTCAGTCACGCAGTGCTCTCACACAGCCATGGCTCACACTCTCCCCCATCTCCCTGTCTCCTCCTGAGCTCACACTGCATTTTGAAGCACTGAGTTCCCTTCAGCCAATAACAGATCTTACTTACCTCTTCCTCTTCCTGATATACAGAACCTGAAGGAAAAAAAGAAGCATCATTGCAGCAGTACCAGTAGGATGGGGAATAGCTGAGAAATGTTGGGCACACAGGAAAGAGGTAGAGAAGGCTGTGCACCAAAGTGGGGGAATGGAGAGGTGACAATGAAAATGACACTTCAAATGCATCACTGTGAGCTTGGCAGCACATCATGTCTGACACTAAGTGCTCAGTGGCCTGTTATTAGGTGTGTTAGTAGGAGTAAGAGTATTAGGTGGATTATCAGGTATAGCTCAGCACGTTTCTGTGGCTGCAGGACGTATCTTGCAATTTAAGTGTGGATGAAAAAGCTTCCCTTTGTGATTTTCTACAGCACAGAAGGGCTGCTACCCCCTCCCCAGTACAAAGGAAGAAGCAAAGAGGGAGGGCATGCTCAGGGACTTGCCTCTGTCAGCCTGTGCAGGGAAGAAAGGGAGGCTTTGGGCCTCCACAGCCTTGTTCTGAGAACTACGAACACTGGATGCTGCTCTTGGGAACTTTTGACCATTTCCAGGTTTTCTTAGGGGCTTTTGGAAAAACTCCTCCTGAGGCCTGCAATGAAATTTTGCAGTAGACTCCTCTGATGGCTGTATTAGTGAAGCCCTTCCTCATAAGAGGAATGGGAGCTTGCTGCTACCTTCTGTTCTCTGTAGGCAGGGAAATGATCTGGTTACATAAAAGGAGAGCTGCAGCCTTTGCACTGCCTGTGGTGAGCCCAGAACTAGGGTTTCTCAAAGCTTCTGCCCATAGCATTAATGGCAAGGTTAGTGACACACCAAACCCTCAAGGACTGATACCCAGCATGCAGAACCTTGGAAATGCAGTCCAGGGTGAGTCTTGCTAAGATGGATTCAGGCCACTTTAATTCAAAAAGAATTTACCCCATGTCCACAGCAGGGACTAACATGGTTTCAACAGTCTGCTTGAAAAGTTAATATGGACGAACTTTCTTGTGGGGCCCAAGGGAAGGTTTAAATCAATGCAGCTGTTCCAGGTAACAAGTCAGAAGAGAATCTGCTTTTTTTTCCTTTTAACTGAACTTCCTATAGCTATTAAAAACAAATACTGATACTACATATAGCTGCTCCGAGGCCTGCTGAGCATCCCATGTGGACCAGACCTCAGGGAGACTGCAGAAATACTAAAGCACTTGATAAAAGCCTTAAAAAGAAAGGAATCTCAGGAACTATCAGTTCCCAGCAGTTTTGGGTGAGACTTTTAATAGAGTGCAAATAAATTATTCAGTGCAAATCAGTCCTAGAACATCTAGCCACCCTCCACCCTCAAGAGACAGGAATGTTTAGCTGGGCTCTCTTACCATTGCTACAGCCAACCCAATCACAGTAAGGATCCCAAAAGAAAGCAGCATGGTGTTCATGCCAGGTCCAGTGCTGGCCATATCTGGGATTTTGGTGCTGTTGAAACTGGTAGTTTCAGGGCTTAAGGTGGCTGTTTGTGGTACAGTCACATCCAGAGCTGTCCCTGGGTCTGGCTTGGCCGTGGTGGGGGTGCTGTGATGCAAGTCATGCACAGAGGGTGAGCTGTAACTCATCCTGCCAGCGCTTGGTAGCTCCTGTTACCAAGCTGTTGTCCTCTCCCATCAGCTACAGAAGTGCAGAGCTGCCCCCCTTCCAATCGAGGGCCCCACGTGAGACCTCTCCTGCAGCATCACCACTGATGGGTTGTCTTCAGGCTAGGAACCACAATGGACTCAGCCTAGGACAGAATGAGAAAAAGTGAGCAGTGCAGAGCTCTTGGAGACAGGCACAACCTTTCCCACAGTTCCCCAATTCACCACCACAGTTTTTGAATGTCTGCTCTAAATAACAAAAATGGTTTTTGAGTTTACTGAGAGCCCCCAAAGTCACGCCTGATTCACTTGGAGTTGGTGATAACTCTCCCATCACTACTCCAGCTCTGCCTCCTTGCAGTCCCTTGGAGATCTGTGTGGAGACAACATCAGAACTCCTGCCTCTGGTGTGCCCCAGGCTGAACCAGGTGGTCTCTATCTGCCCCAGGATAGAGCATTTTCCTGCTTCTGTCTCTTTCTTTTAAATTTTGAAAAGTTGTATTGATCCCGTATCAATGGGAACATACCCAATGAAATGACACTCGGGTCTGAGGCATCCATATCCCAGGATTCTTTTTATTGAAACAAAGTAGGAGCTCCCTGTTGTGGTGAGTCCCTGCACTGTCCATTGTCCCAGTGCTGTTCACACTGTGTGCTCTGGAAAGGGTGGGTTACATCAGTCCTCCATTTAAAGACTTCATCTAAAAAGTATTTCTCAATCCCTCATGAAAGCACCCACTCAAGCTTAGTCATGCACTGGCAATTATCAATATTAATTTTAAAATTAGTCCAATTTTGGATTGGAGTTGTGAAATTTGACAGATCTGTTCATGAGGAGAACATGAAAGGCTTTAATTGCTTCATATTTCTACTGTGCAAATGATCAAGAGTTGCAAAACACCATGGGATGAGCCTATGGGAAGTATTTGCACACTTTGTTTATAAAAGCACTGTATGTAACTTCAGAGCATCAGTTGCTTCCCTGAAAACACAGCTACCTCTGGAGCTGAGCTGACCTGAGAACTTCTGTAGCAGTTTTCTGGTAATTTCCCTGCAATTTAGCAGACATTACATCTCTCGGCTGGAATGCAGCTGGGACAGAGGGGTTAGTGAGCTCTGAATAGAAAAAGATGTGCCTGCAAAGAGAAACAAGCCATTGCTCTGCTCTACTCTGCTCCATTCCAGGCAAGGTTACCATGCAGTTCCCACACTGTGGTGCCTTACTGCTGTCCACAACTGCAGGAAGCAGCGTGATCAACATCTGCCACTAACAACTGGAGCTGGGAAACCACCCCAGGCAAGCAGCACCAGGCTCTGGTGTGGCCATCAGCAGCTGGAGTAGTCACCTCCAGTTGTCCTGCAGCTCCCTGAGCAGGTAAATGCTTTGCTGCTCATGCAGGGTCTGTCTCAGTCCCCTGGAAAAACTTTGTTCCCAAAACAAAGGGGAATTCTGAAGTGCCTGGGAGACACTGTCAAACTCCCTGGAGTTTCCAGAGAAATGTGAATCGTAGCAGTTCTGGTCTGGTCCCTTCTAACATTGTGCTGGGTCACAAGTCATTGCAGCTGAAGGGGACGGTGCCCTTCAGTGACCATTAAGCCCTGCACTCTGCTCAAACCACAGGGCACCTGGACTTCTCCAGCCATTCCTGACCACAGCAGAGCTCAGGTGCAGTGCACGCTTGGGCACAAAGATGGCAAATTTGAAATCAGTGTCACAACAGCAGCAGCAGTGACAGCCCAGCAGGGAAAGGGAAGGAATTATTGAGCAGATTGAGCATCTGCTCAGGCAGAATCCATCAATTTTTGCTATTCAGGGAAACATTCCATAATAATAATACACATTTTTAAAAAGCCACTACCAAGGAAATAAAAAGTGGAAAAAGAGCCTAAATGAAAGGACTGAAGCAGGCCCAAAGGCTTTGCAGAGTATGGCTCTAGGTCTTGAACAGCTCCTAAATTTTGGAAACAAAATGGATTAGGCCTTCAGCTGAATGTGGTGTCAGTTCTGAAAAACCAAAAAAGGCTGAGATGAAATAAGCCAGCTGAAAATCTGATTGAGGGAGAGTAAGTGCTTTTTCTTGCTCCTGGTATCCTGTTCACGCTGGAGGTTTCCCATGCCCACAGACCTAGCTCTAAAAGCAGTCCTGTGTCAAAGGTTTCTGACCTGGCTTAGACAACCACTCCTACGTTCAGACAGGGCTGTTTCTGCTCCCCTGCTCCATGCTGCAGGCAGTCAGACAGGGAGGCTGAGTGCAAGGACAGCCCAGGGCCCACAGCTTACATGGCAGTGCTGGAGGGGGATCATCTTTCCCCACCACCTTCCTTTCCCAGTTGTCATCCTGGTGCTGGAAGTTTGATCTGCAGGCTGGGCACACTCCAAGCCTCTGATGGCAGCTGCAGGCCAGGGACAGCTACTACCTATCACTGGCAGGTTCCAGCATAGTCCGTGCACAAATAGAACAGAAGAGGAACCAGATCCTCAGCTGCTGCCAGCTGGCATTGTTCCACTGCCTGCACCAAGAGAGCTCCTCGCACAGCCAGGAGTGCTCTGTGCTGGGCTCTGCTGCCTCTGCAAATAAAGAGGACACGTTTGCTTCTCTCCCAGGCCAGCATTTCCAAACTGATCTCTGATAGGTGCTGCTGACTCCTGAGATGCAGAAAACTGCTTTGGGCCCCACCTTGAGCCTTTTCTGAAGTATTGATTTTAATCGCTGTGCTGCTCTTTCATTTTGGGTGGGACAGGAACAGAGATTTGTGTCACAGGGATGAAGATGGGTCAGAGCGTCTCTGGATGAAGAATAATAACAAGTATAGTTTCTTAATTACTTTGCCAAGATGAAGTATCGGTAGTAACTCAGCAATGCAAGCGGCGCTGTGTTGCTGCTGGCAACGGGATGTGGCTTCCCAGTGGGTGAACTTTTGGCTTCCCCCACCTCCTTTCCAGAGCCGACCAGGCTCCAGCGCAGCGGGGAAGCCCCGGCCGTGTGTGCCCGCTGTCCCGGAGCCCTCCCGCTGTCCGAGAAGGGCACGGTCCCATCGCACCCCGGCCCAGGCGCGGGGACCCTCCGCAGCCATGTCCCCGCTCCTCTGACCCGCTCTGACACACCCTGCAATAGCAGCGACCGCCCGGTCCCGGTGCGCGCCGAGGAATTCCACCGCTGCCCGGGACTCCATCCCTGCCCATCCCGAGAAGTTTCCCGGCGGATAACGGGTTACGGGGCCCTTCCCGCCGCCCAGACGCCGCCGGCTCAGCCGCGGGCTCACAGCCGGCTCCCCCCTGCCGCCGCTCCGCCGGGCCCGCCCGCGCCCCGGGCGGACCGGACCCCGAGAGGCCGCGGCAGCCCCGCAGTGCCCGCGGGAGGGACGGGACGGCGCAGCCGGACACCCCCGCAGCGCAGCCCGGCCCGGCCCACCCCGGCCCTCCCTGGAAGCGCCCCCCGCGCCGGGCGGCCGGGCCGGCACTTACTGCGCGCTGCCGCCGAGGCGTCCGGTCCCCCGGGGCGCGGGCGGAGCGGCCGCCGGGGGCCGCGCCCGGGGCGCGGGGGCCGGGCCGCGCCGCGCCGCTCCGCTCCGCGCGCACCGCCGCCGGCCCCGCCCCGCCGCACAGCGCCCCAGGCCATTGGTCAGCGCCCGCCAGGCGAGGTTCGCGATTGGTCGGCGCGGCTGTCACTCATGTCGCAGCGGCGGTGCGCTCGGGAGCGGCTCGTGCACGGCTGCTCCTTCACGGGCCCGCCGCGGGACGGGAGGCGGCTGCCCGCGGCTCCGCGCTCCGGGCCAGCCAGCCGTGAACCCAGCCCCACTGGGAGCCCGTGCGGCTCCCGCCCCCGAGGAAGCCGGCGGTGCCCCCAGCCCCACTGGGAGCCGGTGCGGCTCCCGCCCCCGAGGAAGCCGGCGGTGCCCCGGCCGCGCGGGGAACCGTGAGGTGAGGCGTCGCTGTGCGCGCGCTCGCCTCAGAGCAGCCCCGGGCCCGCTGTCGCCCCTCCGGTGGAGGGAGGCCCCGGCCGTGCCCGTGGTGGTGCGTGTGCGGCGGGAGCGGAGGGGCTGGGACGGGAGCCGCCTCCGGCCGCGGCGCTGCTCACACGGCTCCTTCACCGCCACAGTCACCGGTGCGGCCGCGGGGCCGTGCGGCGCCGGCTCGGCCGGACACTGACAGCAGCTTGGACAGTGCGAGCTCCAGCCCTTGCTCAAGCCTGTGAGTGGGGCAGGGCCGAGAGTGCGAATGGCCGGGCCTTTCCACAGACACCTGTGCCCCTGTGAGGCTGCAGGGAGTGGGAGCTGGGGCTGAAAGGACCGAACCAGGAACTGCAGAGGGAAAATGGAAATCTGCTTCCTCCCTGTGTGCAGACAGGTATTCGTACCAAGAAGTAGCATGCAGGGATTTTACATAAGTAGCTGGTCTCCTTTACTAAGGGAGACAACACAAGGAGCCACTGGAGAGGGTCCAGCAGAGGGCAACAGAGATGAAGAGACTGAAGTATGTGTCTTACGAGGAGAGACTGCAGGAGCTGGACCTGTCTAGTCCAGAGAAATGAGAGAGGATCTCACAAAGTAAAACACCAGAAGTTTCACCTCAACATCAGGAAGTGCTTCTTTACACTGAGGGTGGCAGGGCACTGGAATAGGCTGCTCATGGGGCTCATGGAGTCTCTCTCTCTGGAGATATGCCAAACCTACCTGGCCATGTTCCTGTGTCACCTTCCTTGGTTGGGAAGTTGGACTAATTGATCTCCAAAGGTCCCTTCTAACCCCAGCAATTCTGTGTTTCTGTGCAAATTGTTTCAGCCTTGGCAAATTAAAGTCTTTTCTGCCTCCCTTAGAACGCTAATGGTTGTTAATATTTTATTCTTTTAGTGTTTCTCTTGTAAACAGGGCCTTGGTGTGGGAAGCTTCCCAAATAGATACCGTAGCTGACAGACTTTACATAAAGGCAAGTTTTCATGGGGGCTGTTTATCTCTCTGCTGAGAGTAATGCAGATGGTAAAAACAGGATCCTTGGGCTCTTAGAGCATCCACCCCTTTGCCAGGAGATTGCAGGCAAGACAATCTGGAGATTTTTGCTGCAGGGTATTCCTTCTGCTGCTTCCCTGGGCTGTGTTTGATTTTACAAAGAGGGCAGCGGAGGCCTGACTGTTCCTGGGTTTCCCTGCGCAGCAGGAGCAGGACTGTGGTGCCAGTGTCTGCCAGGCTGGAGCCAAGTTGGTCTCCCTGGCTTTCCCTGCAGCAGCATTCCTAGGGGGCAGCTGCCAGCTGCTCAGTAGTTGTTTGAGTGATGATTTTTGGGAGAAATTTGAATAGAGGAGGTTGTGGCCTCTCTGAGACAGTGTTGAAAAGTAGCCATTAATAGAGGAATGGCAATGAATGCTCAGGGAAGCCCATAGTTGTTCCAGGGAGTGTGAGTCAGAAAAGAGGGGCCCTCATTTCTCATGGATCACAGCAGGAAAATGTGGTTGTTATTCTGTTTGTCTCAAACAGTTCCAAGTGTGATATGCAGCAGCTGTTTTGTAAGGTTTAATTTCCTTTGTCTCCTGCAGTCATCTTATTTGTTTTTATTCCCTCTCTGTCTGGCTCTGCCTCTTCTCTCCTTTAAGAGACCAACTTCCCTCTAGCAGGGTTTGCCCTTTCTGGCTGTTCCATCTTTCAAATGTTTCTCTTCCCTCTATTATGTTGTGAGGTTTTCTCCTTCCTCTGCTCTTAGCAGTTCAGCTGTGGCTCTGTACCCCCTTGTTTGCCCTCTGGGGATGGTAACAGTGTGAAACCCTTGATCCATGAAGTCTGGTCTTCTGTGAGCATCCCTGCCAACCTCTGATTTGTGGTTTATGAACAGAGAGAGGAATAAAAGAAATAATCTAGGAGAGACTGAAGGTGTTCCTACAGGGAAACCAAGGTGACCCATGTGTGGGGTGGAGAGCCAAGGACTGGAGCTGAAGGTTGGTGTCTCAGTGGCTCTCTGGGACCAAGGACAGGCAGGAGAGCTGTGCCTGTGTGTGGGCAGCTCGTTTCTGCCCTGCCATGGCCACAGACTGGCCTCTGACCTCTGGAGATGGGTAGCTCTGGGAAGAAGCAGGTTGCAGGGCTTAGCTGGTTGGCTGTCATGTGAGTCTTTTTTGGGAGTAGTCGTTTTTTACTGGTAAGGTGTGAGTAATTGGTTTTGTGCTTGTGGGCTGGGATTAGGGCAAGCAGTCTGCATTCTATCAGAGGGGAACCTTTATTTTGTAGCCTGAGGAACTGATGCTCTTCTTTTGTCTTGTTTTCCAGCCTAGAAGAGCTGCAAATGCTGTCCTGTGGAGAACCCACTGACTGTGGTCAGCTGGTGCTTAGCCAGTGACCTGTGGTAGCACCAGGTGAATCTCAGCACTGACAGTCAGTAGGTGGCAACAGGAACCGGTGTGGAAGGCAGCAACTTCACCACAATGAGATGCTTCACCCATCCACTGCTCAGGAAGTTGTTGAGCCTCCCACCTCACTGTGTGCCAGGGCGAGGGACTCCAAGTAAAGGTGCTGTCCTCAGTCCAAAGCAGCTGTTTCTGAGGCAGAGCTGCAGTGCAGGACCTGGGTTCATGACTGCCACTGACATGGTCCACTATTGGCAGAAGGTGTTCGAGACAAATGGCATCCCCGAAGCACAAGAATCCAGTCAATATATTGTGTCGTTTGTCCTGGGAGCAAAAACAGTTAAGTAATAGGAAAAGAGTAAAGTCTGTATGTGCTTTTCACTTTTTCATTTTGATTGAATCTCTTACCTTTTTATCTCATTTAGAGGGATTAAAACGACTTATCCTCCCTTAGATGGCACAGGGGGTAAGGGGTAGTTTATTATTGCCAGTAGAACACTCAGGAGTCTCTTAAAAGATCTCTTTTGCAGACACTGAAGTATAACATAAATATCCACCCTGACTTGCCTGATGAAGTGATTCTTAATTTTGATTGTTCTGGTGAACCCCAAAAAGTAGCAGAAGAGCAGTTGTAAAGGCTTATTTCTAAACATGCAGATAAGTTCTTCTGATGGCTCTCCAGCTGGTTTCTAGCAATCCCAGGCAATTGTGTTTGTCAGCATCCTGTGTCACCTGGAGGATGCCTGTGGCAGAGGACCCTCCAGTGCACAGGTGGGCAGGTTTTAAAGTGACTTTGTCTTCAGTTTCAGAGTCTGGATTCCAAAAGCCTCCACACTCCACTTACAGCACTGCAGCAGGAGCAAATCCAGCAGCTGAGCCACAAGCGGCTCCAAAGGTAGGAGCATCCTCTTGTACCTGTTCTATTGGAGAGCTTTCCTTCAGCCTAAAAGCTGCCAGGAGAATGGCAGCAGAGGGAAGGAAGCTCACATGTCAGCTGTGCTGTGGTGGTCTCTCATGGTGATTCAAATGAGGGGCATAACTTGTACACCTGCATGGCCACTGTCCAGTTGGTCAGGCCCCAGCCTGTACTGGTTCATGGGGTTATTATCCTCCACCGTTTATATGATTTTGTATTACTCCTTGTTGATTTTTATGAAATCCCTGTCAGCCCATTTCTCCAAAGGTCTCTCTGAAAATTTGTACACCCATCTTGTCTGTTAGCTACTCCCCCAATTAATTCTGTCACTGCAGGCTTGCCAAGGGTGCTCTGTCCCTTCAGCCAGACCAGTAAGGATGTTACGGGATATTGATCCTGGGGTATTTCACTAGGAATCAGCCTTCATTTGAGCCTTGTGTTGCTGAAATCAGCCTTCTAAGCCTGACTGTTCAGTCAGGTTTCCAGCCCACCTCGTTTATTCAGTTTGTACTGCATCAGCTTGTATTTGAGGATGTTATGGGAGACAGTGTCAGAATCCTAGGGAAAATCAAGATGTGGTTTTGGTGCACCTAACTGGTTCATTGTTTCATGGATGACTCTCAGCTCATTCAGGAGTGATTTCCCCTTTGTAAATCCATGCTGACCAGTCTCAGTCACCTTCCTGCACTTGGCATATTTGGACAAGGCCTCAAGGACTCTGTTCCATCACTTTCCCCAGGATCAAAGTGAGGCTGACTGAAGTAGTTCCCAATTATAGGGCTTGATAACAAACTGGGCTGTGGGAAGGGAGCTCCCCCTGTTCCCTCAGCATGCACATGGACGTTGCTCACGCAGTTGCTGGTCCTGGGCAGGGGTTGTGGTTAGCAGTGAGGAAAGCGTGGCATGAGAGCGCCCCTCATCACCCAGCACAGTCCCAAAGCACTCACCCTCTTGCCCTGCTGCAGGATGCCAGTGCAGTACGTGCTTGGAGAGTGGGACTTCCAGGACCTGACCCTGAAGATGAGACCCCCAGTATTTATTCCACGGCCTGAAACAGAGGTATGAATGTGGGGAATGTGGTGGGGGCAACCTTGGATGTGTGACTTATATAACCTGATACAATCAGGGCAGTGCTGTGAAGGCATCCTGTATGTTGTGAGGCTGCAGTGATGAGGAAATCAGATCACTTCTTTTAGAATGGGGGTGGTTCAAACCTTGTGATCTGGAGCTGATGCTAGCAACCTTTACCTCCTGCCTCAGAGGAAGGGATGTTGCAAGCTGATGTATCCCTTAATTACACAGAAATCAATTGCCATTGACGGAAGGATGTGGCTTTGCTTTCCTTAGTTCTGCTAATGTAAGGACTCCTGAGAAGTTCAAAACATCTATTGCTATATCCCAGTGGCTTAGTGCATACAGGAATCTGAACATTGTGCAGAGGTTGCCAGAAGAACCCTGCAGTAGTAGGAAAACAGTAATGGAATCCAGAGAGCCTGACGGTCCATGTGCTTGCTGGTAGGAAGTGGCACCTACCATCTGTCTCATGGCTCCATGGTGGTTTCTGGACAAATACAGGAAACTGAAAGGTAAGTTCTGACCTGGGCTGGAATTAAATGTGACTTTCAGTTGTAAGAATACAAAGGACAGCCATACATAGCCAAGTTAAAACTCCATGTTCCCCAGTGTTCCTACTGCTATGGAAGAGCTTAAGATCTACATGGTGACACTTGCTCTGACAGTAGCCTAGCTTTCACTTTCAGCACATGGGCCATCCTAGCAAGGAAACTTTTTCTTTACTAGTCCTCAGGAGGGCTTGAGATTTGCAAGGTGGGTTTTTTGTTTGTTTTTATTTTGGATTGGTTTGGAGTTTTTTTATCTTCTGAGAATTTGTTTTCTTTTGGAGCCTGTGTTAACTTTTGGAGGTGAAATGGTCTTCATACCTTGTCTATTTATGAGTTCCAGAAGCTTAAACCTGTTTTCAGTCTAGTAGTCATTTCTTCAATTGTTTGCCTGTTGTAATGGGCAAAAGTTAAACAGAAATTTAAGGACAAAGACACCTTGTGCTTCTGTTGTGCCCTTTGAAGAAAAGGGTGCTATTGAAATCCGTGAGGGGTTCCAAAGCATTTAGTGGGAATCAGCACAGCTGCAACATAGACATCCTCTCAAGTCAGGGAGAGGAAGAATATTTAGAACCAGAGTCTTGGTTTGGTGTGGGCCATGAGCAGCACCTCATGGAGAATCTGCTGGGCCCTAAATCATAGTGCTGACACTTGTGTCCAGAAGTTTAAATCATAGTGCTGACACTTCTGGGAGCCCTCTGCCTGGTCTGGGTTAAACATAATCATTCTGTACTGGGTGAGTTTGAAGATAGAGCTCCAAGGAATAATTTTGCCAGTTGGAGCCAGCAATGGTTACCTTTGTTATTGTCAACAGTATTTCTGCTCTGGATGATCCAAGAGAGTATTTCCAACATTCAAATCCCAATTAGTTCATGGATGCAATGGGAGCATTGAAATCAGGGAAAACTTGTGTATTCTGCAAGTCAAAATATCTGCTGGTGAGGCTTCCTCTGGAGCTGTGCTCTGGTTCTTCACCCCATGCAGTGCCACACTCAAAACAAAGGCCTATTGTGTAGAGTGGAAGCTGGGCTGGCCAATGCTTAAGAATGTTGTTAATTTAGCCCAGATACCAGATTTTTGTAAAAGCATCTCTGCTGGCCCAGTCTGGAGGGCAGCGCTCTGTTTGAAACCAGTTAACATACCCTGTGCAAAAATGGAGTGTAAACAGCATTACCCAGACTTGTCTCTGGCAAAACTTTATTTGTTGTGTCACTTAACTTACCATGAAGGCACATTTTTAGCACATTTATTGCAGAAGACCAGAAGTTTATGATGATTCAGGAATGGAGCTCTGTGGGCAATGGAGAGTTTGCTTGTGATGTGCTGGGGGGGTTCCTGTGACAGGAGAGCCATGTGGACAAAATCCAGCTAGTCAGCAGCACCTGGCAGGACATGGCTGTACACTGATGCTGCTTCCAGGAGCTGTGTCCTGTGTGTAACCAGTGCACAAAGTGGTGTCGAGATCCTTTCCTTCTGCTGGAAAGAAAGGTTGGTAATCTCTTTGTGTGATGTGTTTGGGTTGGGCCTTGTCAATGTTTGGTTTCATCAGAGTAATTTTTTTCAGCCTTCACTGGACTTGAAAACTGCAGTGGAAATACCTCCTTTCAGAAATGTTAAAGTTCATTGCATCTGCTGCTTTCCTTTTGTTTAGAATTTGTCTGCAGCGTTCTTAAAACTGGTAGTGCTAAAACTTTTCACCAGATAATTTCTGTGAATAATCCTTGTTCTTTAGGAAGCAGTTAATTGTTATCCCAGGTTCACATTTATCTGTGACTGCACATTCAAGCCATGTGTCTTGTTTTTTTGGCTGAGAAAATGTGACTCCCTAAACTGACTCAGTGCAGATACACAGGCAGCTTCAAAATTTTCTTCTTAATTTTCTGTATGCAGGTTCTGCAGGTGCTCCTGTGTGTTGGTTCAAGTCTGAGAAGGGGAGCCATGTTTATGACACACATGTTTTTCTCTGGTTGCAACAGAAGGGTTATGACTCCTGCTCCCAGCGCCTTGGTAATGGCATGAAATTAAACACAGCATGACCCAAACCACAAGCATTGTTTCAGGCCTGGGGACAGAGATACACGCAGAGAGAGAAGCTCCCTTTTCTACTTAATTCTGTCCTGTGTGAAATTTGTCCCAATGTCATCTCTTTAGTTCTCTCTGGTAGCTGAGCCTTCTCTTGTTCGCTCCCTCCGGGAATATTTTTGCAGCACATGTGGCTTTGTTCTTCTGTTCCATGGGAATCTGGCTGGGGAGGGGACAGGCAGCCAGAAGCAGGGAAAGAGCAGGTCCTGTTCAAGCTCTAGCCTGCTGGGAGAAAAGCTTTGGACTGGCTGCTGCGAATGCTGTGGGTTTGTGAGGGCCTTTGCAACTTGGCATCCTCCCAGCTTTCCTCCTGTGGCACCAGAGCCAGGCTTCTGCACTGGGAAATGTTTGGACCAAAGTTATGGGGTGTACACAGTGAATTATCTTTGTTAGGTGATTATTGTAATGTCAAGGCATCCCTGTCTCAGCACTGCTCCCTCACTGTTAATAGAGAAGAAAGATCGTTTCCCAAAGCAAGTATTTTTTTTAACTTCTAAAATTTTAGAAGGCCTTGCTTTGGGAGAAATAGGACAAAGAGGAGGAGAAGTCATTCCTTTCTGCCGGGTGACTGCAGGCTCTCCGATCCTCACCGTGGCTTCCTTAGGGACTTTTGTGCCTTGGTCCCGGCCTCCTCCGAGGGACGGGTGTGGGGTACGCGGCACTCCCGCCTGCTTCCCCCAGAGGGCGCTCCAGGCTCACGCTCGCCGAGTTCCTGACGATTTCCTATCCGTTATCCCAGAATTTCTGATGGTTCTGAGGCTTAATTTTTCTGTGGAAACAAAAATGGCCATCTTTTGTGCCTCGCAGCTATTGATCCGGGTTCCTATAGCAGATGGTGGGAGCAAAATGACAAGAGAAAAGGTGGGTGTGGAAGGGTCCCTTCTTCTCTTGACAGTCAGCAGTAAGGGACTGTCCAAAGCTGGATTTGGGACCATCCTGCTTTGTACTTGCTAATGGATCTGTCCCCTACTGATTTGTTTAATCTTCTTTGGAGTCTGTCTACGTCTAACCTCCCTGGCATCATGTGACAGCAAATCTTGTATTGTAGGTGGGAAAAGTGTATTCTTTGCTTCTGGTACTGCCTGCTTGTTTAATCATAAAGGAAAACCTCTAGTTTTTACTTAAATCATTCACTACAGAATTTGTACTTTTTATTAATGTTTTTGTCTATTGTTTTTTCACCTGTGATTTTTAAGCTCTTTTGCTTGTTTCCCAAAATAGGTTGTTTCTTTCCCATGATAACATGCTTGAAAGCTGAAGTCAATGCTGTTTACTTGCACCTGCCTGTGGAATGGCATTCATTGTGTGGGGTGTTCTGTGAAAGCACTTGAGTCAAAAATTGACTCTGAGAAACCTTGCATGAAGTTTAACGTCTAGATAAACATAATCATTAAACTTTCAAGAAAGTTCAGCACACAAAGAAGGGAGAATTGTCTTTTCCTGACCTGTATATGCAAATAAACAGATTGCAAAGTAGGCCCTTTCTCTCTCCAACATTTTCTGTCAAAGCAGTGACATATTTTCTGCTCCAATCAATGCTGAAAGGAAGCATTGATGCAGAAATGTCCTTTCATTTCCCTAATTTCTTTGCCACAAGTGGATACTTCTTGGAAAGGTCTGAAGGTCACACTGTGTAGTGAGTACAGCCATTAATCAAGAGTCAGGAGATTGGCTTTTTTTCATAGTTTTACCTCTGAGCAGTTGTCTCTTCAAGGGAAAGCTGCATCCTCTTTCTGTGTAATGGGCTTCCCAATATGGGAAGTGAAAAGGCCAATAATGCCCTGTCTTGACGTAGCTTAAGGTCCTTTCTTGAAATATGTGTAGATTGGCATGTATGGCATATTAAACATAGATGCAGTAGAGCATTATTTAGTAAATCAAAAATTATCTGCTATCTCTCAAAATAGAGCTGTAAGCAAATGTGCTAAAGATGGAGCACTGCTGTTGTGGCCTCACAAATCAGATTTTGCCCATATGATAGGCAATACTTCATCCATGTGTTGGAGGAGAAAAATATTTTCTGCAGGTGGGCTGTTCCACAGAGGCTGGGGAATGGAAGTCACAAAGGGAGCCTGTTGTTGCTGCAGAGCAATTGGAATTGCCCTTTGAGCTAGGCACAAGTGTTTGATAGGATCATATAGAGAGAAACAAGTAGAGCAGCCTGTGCCTTGTGGCTGAGGCACTTGTGCTGCCAGAAGGGCTTGGAGAAGGAATTGGGATTGCCAGTGTCTTAGGGATATTGGCTGTCCGGGAGCACCCACTTTTTGCTGCCCAATGGGCTGATGGGATCCTTGCATGTGGACTGGGAAATGCCACATGCACGTAGCAGCATTAAATAATGAGTATTGCAGTAGTGGA